TGGTAGATTTCATAAAGAATAGTCTGTCAGATTAAGAGCATGTAGTTGAGAGGAAAAAAAAAAAAAACAAAAAACACCAAAGAGTTCATTGCCATCGAGTTGTTTCCTATTCATAGCAACTCCCATTGGGTTGCTGAGGCTGTAAATCTTTATGGTAGTAGGTCTCCCAGTCTTCTTCTGCAGAGCAGCTGGTGAGTTTGGACTGCTGACCTTCCAGTTAGCAGTCAAGTCCCCTATCCACTATACCACTAGAGGCCCTTAGGCCTAGTAATTCCACTCTTAGACATATACCCAAAAGATCTGAAAGCTGTGACATGAACAGACAGACATATGCATATGTTCATTGCAGTACTAGTCACAATAGCTCAAAAGTGCAAACTGAAATATCCATCAACTGATGAATAGATAAAGAAAATGTGGTATATACACACAATGGAATATTACTCACCCATAAAGAGGAATGAAATTCTAATGCATACCACAACATGTGTGAATTTAGAGGACATTATGCTGAACAATATAAGTCAGACACAAAAGGACGGGGGTTAGTGTTTTTTTTTTTTCTTTCCTTAGAATGCATTGAATGCATGTTAATCATGGTAGGATATTTTGAAAAAAGAGCAAGAATGGTTGCACAACTTGAATGTAATTCATGTCACTGAAGTGTATATGTAGAAACTGATGACATAGTTTATGTTTTGTTGTAGGTATATCACTATAATTAAAAAAAAAAAAAAAAAAAGGGAGCTCTGGTAGCATAGTGGCTAAGGCACTTGACTGCTACCCAGAAGACTGGCGGCTCACACCCATAAGCCAGTCCTCGGAAGAAAATGGGGCAATCTACTTCCGTAGTGATACTGCCTTGGAAACCCAAGGAGGGGTCACTACCAGTCGGGTCCGACTGGACAGCACATAACAACAACATAATAAAAAATATATTTTTTAAAAAATACAAAAGCATTTCAAATAGAGGGAATAGGTTATGCAAAGGCAGGGCTATACCTTGCGTTTGTCAGTCACTGAATTTCTGAAGTCTTAATTTCCTACCTATAAAACAGGAACAGTATTATCTGCCAGAGAAGTGGTGTGAGAATTAAGTGTGATAATGCATTGCACAATCCTTGCACCATAGATTGTAAACAATATTAATTGCTTTTTTATTATTTATAAAGACTCAATGGCACATAACAACAACAACAATTTTTCTTCCTCTCCCTCTACTCCTACCCTCTACCCCTACTGAGAGGGTCCCAAGGAGACTACATTTCCCAGCATGTCATTCACCCTTTGACCGCAGTTAGACCAGAAAGGCGCGCCGACGAGCGCCTCCAGCCGGAAGACTATAGCCTCCCGGCATGCAGCACGCCTTCTTCCATTAGACTTGAGGCTCGATCGGCGCATTGCCTGCCGGGAGTTGCAGTCAGAGGCCGGTTGCCCTGACGCCGGCCGGGCCGGGCGTGGGGGCCTGTGGGAGGTGGCGCGGCTGGGCCCAGCTGCGGGGCGGAGGCGGCAGAGAGGCCTGCGGCGGCAGGGAGCGGCGAGGCCGGGAGCGGGCGCCGGAGCCGAGCCGAGCCGGAACGGGCGGCGCAGGCCGGCGAGGCGAGAAGCAACCATGTCGGTGTTCGGGAAGCTGTTTGGGGCCGGAGGGGGTAAGGCCGGCAAGGGCGGCCCGACCCCCCAAGAGGCCATCCAACGGCTGCGGGACACGGAGGAGATGCTAAGTAAGAAGCAGGAGTTCCTGGAAAAGAAGATCGAGCAAGAGCTGACTGCTGCCAAGAAGCACGGCACCAAAAACAAGCGCGGTGAGGCGACCCAGCCTTCTCAGGCTCCCCTCAGGCTTCCCGGGCCCCGACTCCACTCTAGGCGCACTCGCCTCGGGATCCGCGCCGGCCCCGGATCTCCCTTGTCATACTCCGATCGTGCCTTTCTGGGTCTAGGACCCTTCCCCGTCGCACTCGCTTGATTGTCTTCTTTCCACCATCGGACTCTCATTTCAGCCCTCTCTCATCCTGCCAACTCCCGTCAGTCCCTGATCTCGCAGTACTTTTGGGTGTCCTCACTCTGTTAATGCTTTCTCTTTCTCCCGTTCCTGCTGCCTCCGGCCTGCCTTACCCCCTTTCTCAAGTTCCGCCTCCTCCCTGGCGCATTTTTGCCCCTGATCCTGGTACTTGTGTCTTTTCTTACTACCCCACCCTTTCCTGACACCTTCATGGAGTCCGTGAGCCTTCCCTGGCCTCTGCTTATTCCCCTGACTCAGAATTCTCCTTGAAAGCCTCCTTGATGGAGAGAAGGGGACTAGGGGTTCCTGCTGCACCACCGACTTGTTGGGGGAACTTGAGCAAGTTGCTGTTTCTCTTGAGTTGTCAGTTTCCCCATTCCTCGGCCTGGGTTTGGCCTGTATGAAACGGTAGGTGCCTTGGCTCTGTGATTCACTTCGTGTTGCCTCATAACCTGTCCTTATCAGAGCTTCCCTTAGCGCCAGCCTTTACACCCCGTGACTCACTGTCATCCTTCTAACCAGAAATACGGCGGACTCTATCCCGTCGTTCGGTGGCCTCCTCCCCTGGTACCCCTACTGGGACTTTGGCGCACGGTTACTTCCTGGTATTTTATGACTTTCTGGACAGGTGCTTTGTATATTTCTTAAGCGAGGTGAAGGTGAAAATGCTTTAATAACTGTAAAGTAAACCAATCCCCCTATGCCCTGAGAGAAGGCCAGTGTTGAGAGGGGTTTAGGAGCCTTGCAAACAAGGATTTAATGCACCCGTCTGCTAGTCACTAGGTGTGTTTCCTTGAGCAGATTAATTTGCCTCTCTGAAGGCAAGATCATGTTGCACATACCAAAAAAAAAAAAAAAAAACCAATTCTGCTGCCATCCAGTTGATTCTGACTCATAGTGGCCCCCGTAGGGTTTCCAAGGCTGTAAATCTTTATGGAAGTAGATTGTTGTCTCATCTTCCTCCTGTGGAGCAGCTGGTGGGTTTGAACCACTGACCCTCTGGTTGGCAAAATGCCTTACTGACTACACCACCAGAGCTCCTTTTGCTGCTGCACATAGTAGGGGCTAAGTAGATGTTTCTTCCTTTTAACAGAATATATCCTGAGGATGAGCCACTGCTAATAGACAACAAACATTCTGGAAATTCTTTCTGAGTGCCTACCATATGCGTTGTATTCCCAGGAGTGAGCAAAACATAGCCTTCACCCTGACGAGGGAGAAGACAGACAATAGGAAAATAAATAAATGAAGAAAATATTGTTTGGTGATGAGAGTGCTTAAAAATAAATAAATAAAATGAACTGTTAGGGATGAGGAGGTGGGAAGGGGTACTGCTTTAGAGTTTTCAGGAAGGCCACTTTGAAAAGGTAAAATTTGAGCTGAGCCTTGAGTTCAAAAATCTTTAAGAGGTGCCTTCCTGGCAGGGTGAACAGCATTTGAAAAGGCCCAGAAGTTGGCATTTTTTAAGAAACAGGAAGAATATCCCTGTGTCTGGAATATAGTGATTGAGTATAGTGAAGCAATGTGGTATAAAATAGGTGACAGAAAAGTAGGCCTTGAGCTGCCTGATAAAGAGTGTGGAATTTATCCTAAGTGTGTGTGAGCTGTTGGAGGGTGGTATAGAAAAGCTTGTGTTAGTCACTGATAGAGTTTGGAAAACATTATCCGATTGCTCTTTGGAGAGTGGGCTGCAGGGGAGTGGTGCCGGTGGGAGCATGGAGACAAGGCAGTGGCAGTCATCCATTTGTGGCCTGGGCCCTGGTCCTAGAACTGGAGACCAAGAGCAGGGTTATATTTTGCCGTCTCTAGCATTTTTCTCTGATGACTCTCCCTCAATCAGGATCCTCTGTTGTTCATGGTAATTAGAGTCATATTTGTTTTTACCAGTCTGCACTTTGGAAGGCTTTGCCCATTGCAGGGTGGCAGAGGAGGGTGTCATTTTGCCCATTTTGCATCTGCGAGGGCAGTTCTCCTGTGGTCTTTGGGTCTGGAGCTAGTGGAGTTTCTGCCATTTTAGAGGCAATCGAATTAATTGGCTTTCACAAAGGCTTAGAGAGAGGCTGCCAACAGACTGGAGGACCAAGACGCTCACAGTTAATTGTAATAAACTTTGCTGAAAGCAGTCTGTTGTCTTGAGTTGGCCTGAGAGCACAGGAGCTACTGTAACTTGCTCATCTTTTTACAGTTCTCTGGAGAAATGTCTTATCTGGTTGCTGGTATAGTGCTGTGAGGTATTGATACTGTCACTTACCATTCACTTAGAGTCACTTACTGACTCACCACTGTGCTGGGACCTTGGGAGTCAGAAGTGAAATGAAAATACACTGTTTGTCCTCCAGGAACTCAGGCCTGGAGGTAGGGGTGTGAGTGTGTGTGTGTGTGTGTGGGGGGGGGGGGTGACGCGCGTGAGGCGGGCAGGGAGAAAGAAATAGTGGTAACAGTAGTCAGTGCTGAAATAGGAGGCTGAGGCTGCAGGGGAGGAAGTTCCTGTCTGGAGGGGAAGACAAGGATGTGAGGTAGGTTGGCAAGGAGTTTGGTGTGTTTGAGGAGCAGTGAGAGTATCTTGTGGCTAGAGTCTGTGGGTTGGGGCAGGAGAGAGAGAACAGTAGGAGGTGGCCTGTGGTCTTTAGACCTTGACCTGGAAAAACTGAGGAGCCATTTGGCAGTCTTTAAATCGGAAAAGGCATATGCATATCAGCTTGGATTTTCAAAAGACCACTCCAGCATAAAGGAGGGAATGTAGACCAACCAGGAGAGACTGGAGGCAGTCTCTTATTGGAATCCAATAAGGGGTAAGGATAGACTCTCATAGACCTGGATTTGAGCCATAGCTCTGTAACTTAACTAGCTGTGTGCCTTGGGCAGGTTACTTCGTGCCGCCAATTCCTCCTTTATAAATCGGGGTACTGGTATCTTTCTTGGAGGATTAAAATATGCATGCGAAACTGTAAGCACCGTGGCGGCCATATGGTAAGTAATCAATAAATGCTTGTCATTATCCTTATTACAAGGAGACTTGGAATTACCCGGAGACTGGCAGGTATTCAGCTAGAAACTAAGGGCCTAGAGTAGAGACAATGGTAATTGGAAGAGAGCTAGTACATGTCAGAGACTTCTAAAGGAGAATCAAAAGAGACTTGGTGATGTATTGGATTTGTGGGAATGAGCAGGATGAAGGAGAGGGAGGAGGTGAGGATGACTCCCAGGTTTATGGCTGGAGCGGCTGGGTGGATGATGATACCATTAACCAAGTTGGGAAACACAGGAGGAGGAGCAATACTTCATAACTGTGTAGTCCTTTGAAGTTGGTAAAACTCCTATTTTTTGTGTGAGCCTTGCAGCAGACACTAAGACTGGATGTGATGGTCATGTTCATCACTGTTTCCCCGGCACCTAGTCCAGGGCCTGGCACATAGTACTCCAGAAGTATTTATTAACATATGAAAACAGTCTTGTGAGTATGTTCTGTTATTTCCCTTTTATTGGGAAGAAAACGAGGCTCCAGAGGGGTTGACTCAGAGAACAGGTCTTGTGGTGAAAGCGTCATAGCCGTCATCATCACTTGACTCATTAAATGCCCACTTGTATAAGGTGTGGTGCTGAGTGTGGGAAAAGGAAGTGAGGTGGCCCTGCCCCATGGACACTGTAGCCAAATGTGGACACTGTCTTTATAGAAGGGTGATAAATTGCTCTTTGAAACAAACTTCTGAAGGTTGAGTAGATTATTTGCAGCACACAGATGTGTCCCAGGCAGTGAGTTCAGTTAGAGGCCTAGAGCAAAATTTGGATTGTATGTCCTTTCCTGGTTTCTTTTCCTTTAGTCATATACTCATTCTCAAGCATGTGGCAGGCTCTTCCTGTGTCCTAGGTCCTGTCCTAGGAGCTGGGGACATAGAGATGAACCAGACATGGTCCCTGCCATTGAAGAAACTTAAATATCACCACAGTCCTTGTCTATAAAGTGGAAATAATCTTTATTTCATGTGGCTGTGGTGAGGATTAAGATGCCCTGGTGGCACAGTGATTAAAGTGTTTGGCTGCTAAGTAAGAGGTTGGGAGTTCAAACCCACCAGCCACTCTGTGGGAGAAAGATGAGGCAGTCTGCTTCTGTAAAGATTACAGCCTTAGAAACCCTATGGGCCAGTTCTCCTATGCCTTATAGGGCAGCTATGAGTCGGAGTCAGCTCTACAGCCCTGGGTTGGTGGTGAGGATTAAGGAGCCCTGGTGGCACAATGGTTAAGCACTCAGCTGCTAGCTAAAAGCTTAGCAATCTGAACCCACCAGCCTCTGCAGGAGGAAGATGTGGCAATCTGCTTTTGTCCTTATGGGGCAGTTCTGCCTCACTGTGAGTCAGAATCGGTAGCACACAGCAACAACATAGTGAGGAGTAGCTTGATAATATATGAAAGAATGTGGCACATTGTGGGTATTGAGTAGGTATATGGAAGTAATAACACATTGCTTTCCTTTTCTGATAAAGTCATTGTTGATCAGATTTCTTTGGTTCATCAGAACGAAAAAGTTCTTTCACTAAAAACTAGGTGGAAACCAGGATTGTACAAAAATCATCCGCTCTTTGCTCTTTTTGGCACCTTTCTACACTGTGGGGTCCTGTTGGTTTTCTTCCTAAGAAAGATGATCAGATATCAAAAATTCTTTTCTATTTAAGGCATTGGATCTACTTATGAAGTGTCTACCCTTAGTGGTTCAGCTTTCCCTTTTTTCCTGTTTTAATAGGGATGAAAGCAGTTTGTAGAAAGGAACATATTTTATAGTTTAATAGGGGAAGCGTATCATTTATT